TAAGCTTGATTAAATAATTCTTAGAAGGTAATTAATTAATTAGATCATAATGTTTAAGAAATCATAAAAATTATATACTTTATATATTATATTTGGTTGGATTAATTGTGATTATTATACTATTTTTTATTTTATTTTATGGTTTATGTGACCACATTGGTTAATATTGAATTTTGATCTAAGTTATAATTGAATCAAATTGAACTTAACTAAAGGGGAAAAAAAAACCACTTATAATTGCAATTACTCTTTTCAACAATGATGTCGTATTTCATATTTTATTTGATTTCATATTCTCTAAATAAAATTTGTATAGCAAGAATTGGTAGTCAATTCAAATAGTCATTGGCTTCCTCAATAAATAGTATCACCACATCTTTGTTCCATATACAATTGCTAGTTGCTCTCCATTACATGCAAAATAATTGCACTCTGTCCTTCTGAGCTTGGATAATTCATATGCCACAAGTTGAAGGCTCCTATCAAAGCCTTATTGAAGAACCGTGTCATTAGCAAAGTTAGAAGCATCAATATTAAGTGTACATAGAAGATTGGGATCATATAGTTGCAATATTAGAACAATAATCAATGCCTCCATCAACTCCTCAAAGGCCCTTTTTTGTTCCAATTTCTAGTAAAATGGAGCACCTTTTTTTAATAAACTTATCAATAAGGCAGCAATGTATGCAAATTACCAAACAAAATGACAATAATATTCAGCAAGGCTTAAGAATGAGCGGACTTCAAAACATCTTTGGAAGTTGGCCAATCTTTCATTCCTTTCACCTTGTCTTGCTCTATATGCATACCTTCAAAGGACACTACATGCACCAAAAAGGTGACCTCTAACTTCTAAAGTTCACACTTTGATTCCTTACAATAAAAGTGACTATTAATAGCTAGCACAACACTGTCTATAGATGTTACTCATGCTCCTTAGGAGGTTTTACTATAGACCATGATATCATCAATTAAAACAACCACATATTCATCCAAAAGGTTCTAAAATAATCTATTCATGTGATCCTTAAAAGATGTTGAAGCATTAGTGAGGCCAAAAAGTAATACAAGCCACTTAAAATATCCATACCATATACAAAATGCCATCTTTTTATATCCTCTTTGATAATAGGGATCTGCTAATAATCACTTTGAAGGTCCAATTTACTAAAGATAGTTGTACCTTGAAGTTGATCAAAAAGATTATCCACACTTGGAAGTGGATATGCATTCTTGACAATCTACTTATTAAGGCCTTGATAATCAATACAAAGTCAAAATCCACCATCTTTTTTAGGTGTAAAGAGTACACATGCTCTCCATAGCGACGAACTTTTTCAAATGAGGCCCTTCTCTAAGAATTCATCTAATGACTTTTGTAACTCTTTAAGTTTAATTGGTGCTAAGCAATAAATTGGCCGACTTGTTGGTTTGGCCCCAAGCATTAATTCCATTTCAAAAAGGGCACCTTGATCAGGTTGCATGCCACTAGATAAATCAATTGGAAAGACATTTTAATATTTATGTATGAGTTGTTCTATCTTTTGGCTATCTTTTCCACCATTGAAGCAAGATTCAAAACCATTATATATACAAGTTGCTTATGTCATATTTGCTTCTTTATAAAGGTCATTCTTACAAATAAGCCTTAGCTACAAATTGTTTTGCTATCCCAGACAATACATAGGCATAAAGAATCACCATGTGTCCTCCATCTTTGAAAGAAATTGTCCTTCCTAGTTAATCAACTTATTTATTTTTTATTTTTAGCCATGGCATATCAAAAATAATATCATATCTAAGCTTTGATACTCTGAACTTCTCCACCAAGGCATAAGTATCACTCAACCTTAGGGCTTCTTCTTCACTTCTCTTATTTAATATGTTTTTTTGGTCATTTGCTTAATATACATTCTCTCCTTTGATCACCTTTGTTTCAATCCCAAGTCGGTTGGCAATTGTCATCAAGATGTAATTATTTGTAGAACCGCAATCCACAAGCTCAACATGGCTATCTTCTTAGTCGACTTCTTAGACACACTAGTCAACCTTTTTGATAGTTGTTCGAGGCTATGCCATTTGTCTGTGAGAAATATCAACTATTCCTAATACTGGCCTTTGATGCCTTTATCGGGGAGCCCTGTTTTCTTGCTCTTTTTCTTCATCAACCTAGTGACCTTCATGATTGTGAGCTCATCATGATTTGTTGGTGCTTGAATTTTGACATTTTGGACAATCTCTGATTTGATGGCTTGACTCAATAGTAAAAGCACAAAGATGAAATCCTTTGTGAATTGATATGTAAAACCTTAGAATAGTAGATGTTGAGCTAAAAATGTTAGGTCAAGATACAACTAATCAATTTATTCAATGGTCAAGAAAAGATATATACTTGCTTTTGGACATATGGAATGATTATAGACATGATTGATACACAACTACTTGGCTTCAACAGAGAATGGAAAGCCAATGTAAGCATCTCCAACATTATCAATTCTAGGGCTGCATCCCCTAAAATCCAAACTCAACACTTCTCTACTCTTCATGGAATTGATAGATGCCCTACATCAGAAACTCTATAATAGAATTATTTCAAATTCTTGAAATAGAAGAAGGTATACTTCTAGTAATCAAATATATTGTCCTTCTTTCAGAAAAACTAGAACAGGTATACTAAGGGCAACTATAGATTGGCACCACTCCAAAGGATTTGCATAGCTATCAAAAATAAACATCAAGAAGTCATTGGATTCAAACTCATCAGCCCAGTCTGCTGGCTCCAAACACCTTAGCTAGCTGGAAAGTGCCCAATACAACCCCTCATGTTCGACCCAGCAGAATGGAAATGGCAGCGGCAAAATCACTACAAAACAAGCTTTAAATACAACTACACATTGCAACAAGGCTACCAACTTGGCATCACCGGAAGGATGGCTCCTCTCAAAGGCGAGCGCATACTTAGACAACACAACTTTGATGATACACAATGCCAACAATTCTACAAGAAGCTTTGGCATCCTTGGCTCTCCAGAAAATTTGCAGCCATGTATTGGCTCAATCTCGTGGAAGGTCTCTCAATGGGCCACTGATGAAGGATAATGCAACTAGATCCCTCTTGTAAACTGTGCAACCTAGGAGAAAGCAAAACCATTCAGCATGCCTTCTGAGACTGTCCGGTCATTCACCTTACTTGGTCACAATACAATACACTACGCCAAAAGGCCTCTTGAAGCACTACAAGACTGGATGGAGACGCTCTACGATAAACTGGGTCCCACAACCTTAGCAAATGAGAAATCACTCACCGCAACCATCCGCGTCTAAAAATGAAACTCCATGGTTCCTATTTTGACAGAGACCGGGAACCGTTTCATATCGGCCAAGTTCTCTATAATATCCTTATCATAATGTCTTAGGGTTTCATTAGAGAGTCAGTCGCTTTAGCATCCAGAGAAGCATACAAATGGAACAGCATCGTCAAGGCAACAAACTACCAAGTGAACAAAGGATCGCAGCCCAACAACTGCAATGGAATATAGTGAATAGTCAGAAGGCCAAAATCACTTCACACAACTCAAACAGACATGTGGCATTGTTGCACTCCAGGCCCTCGAGGCCCCACCAACGGTGTAGAACCCGAAACATGCGTGACATACGCGTGAGTTGTACGACACTTTGTACGTTTAACCGCGGTGCAAACTAAGGCTCATGTGACTGAAACGCCCGTTCAGTAAGTGGGAGGTCCTGAGTTAAACCCGCAGCGAGAGCAGCGACCGTTCTTTTGTCCGTTGCAAGGAGAGTATCACTCACACTCCATCACCTCCACGCACCGCAATTCCCTTTTTTTGCGTGCTTTCCGCTGCTTGTCGAGGTGTTGATTGGAAAACCCACTTGGGATCGAACATTTTCAGGAAAATTTCTTGTGTTGATTTTGTACTTCTGTGAACAGTAGAGGGTATGCATGACTGCCAGCATTTGTTCTCAGGTTCTTAGGCTTTTCAACGAGTTTCCAGTTATTTGTATTTTTCATGATTCATGAAGACCTGTGGGTAGTCGTCAGAGTTATGGAGTGGTAGAAGCTGTGGAGGGAATTCAATACTCGTCAACTACATCTGCGATGTAACACAGTTTTAGATTCCGAGAGCCATAACCTGTTCATTTAGCTCCCGTGTGTAGAGCGGTAACCCCAGAGACTTATAAAAATCATTCGACGAAAACACCGTCGAGAATCGAAGAGGTGGCTGCTGCTTTCTAAGTGCAATTGCGAGACTTACCACCTAACTGTGTTTGAAATTCTGTTTCCGCTTCGACACAACCCAAGAAAAGCGAATCTACCTATCCGAATTGTGAATTGCTTGAGAATGTCTCCTGTTATCATACACATGGTAAGAGGGATTGTTGCTAAAGTCGTGAATATTGAAGTACACAGAGGGTGCGTTCAGTCATGGGCGAGAGAGCCTTCTTCGATCATTAATCTCGAACCCACCATAAAGACTACCAGCTAGGCAACAGAAAAGAATTCGTCAAAACAAGAGGTGGACAAGACCAGCAAAAGCAGCAAGAACCGCGAGAGACGAACAGCGGGCAGCGGAGCACGTGTGAGGTGAAGGCGAAAGAAAAGCATGGAAAGGAGAAATGCAACCCAAAATGTGAAACAAAGTGAACAGAGATGTCGGTGGTGGAAATCAGGAACTTGGTAAAGTCACGGAGCGAGACCCTGCTACAGCTAAAAAGACAGAATCCAACAAGGAAACTATAAAAAGATATCATCACATCGAAAGTATCGCAGTCTGATACAGCTCGCAAAAATTGCCAAAAACGGCCAATAAAACCCGTTGGCCCCGTCATTCTTTCCTCATTGACGGTAGTGAACTGCACTGTTGACGTCATCGGCGTCCTCTGAGTGGATGAGGACCAGGCCAGGTTGCCTTCGAGGATGAGAGAGTCTTCAAGAGGACGTGCCTATGGGCACCCTACACGACAAATGGGGTGGAGTGGAAGATAAGCGAGAATGGAGCCGGGAATATCAAAAGGTGGAGGGGGATATGGATGGCCAGGGAATAAAAATCAGAGTGAGCAGCGAACGGGGTAGCTCTTTCATAAATGAGGAGCGTGACACCTTGTACCCGGCTGCTACCTCGATAAGCGCGTCTGGTAGCGCATATGCATTTCCTTCACAGCCTGTTTCCTCACCTTCTTTGTCTCTCTCCTTCTTTCTCTCTCTCTCTCTCTCGCTCAGCAGTCTCGTTGTAGCTAAGTGAAGAATTGTTGACAGGAGTGAGCCACTCTGTGGTAACAAGAGTCTGATTAACCAAATGCCACCCATCCCTCTGCGTGGGCTCTCCCTTGTCTCCCCTGATGGCCGGCACTTCCGTCCTGGTCGTTCCCCCCTTCGATTGCGCTTGGTTGATGGGCGACGAACAAAGCTTCCTCACCCCGGGTCGGGGCTGCGTCGCTTTTGAGGCTCGTGCTGCTAATGATGTCACCATCGTCTTTAAAGAGCACCCAGGTCTTCGCACACTGGAATTCCCACTTTTTCTCCGATATTCTCATCATTGAACTCTCTTTGTTGTCGTTTTTTTTTTTTTTTTTTTTTTTTTTTTTTTTTTTCTCTGACTGAATCTGTTGATGTGAAATTGTCTCGTGCGCAGGATGCAAGCATTACAGAACAGATCTGGGTCCCAATTACACCATTATTTTGGGAAGCCATGGTAATCGGAGGTTGAAGATGCTGGTGGATGGCAAGACAGTGGTGGATGTAGCTGACATAGTCCTCTGCCCCTCCACGTTTGAGCGTTACTGGATCAGTGTACTGGACGGGAGGATCATAGTTGGGAAAGGGGAGCCTGGACAGAGTATTGTGCATGAGTGGTCAGATCCAAGCCCTAATTTTAAAATAAAATATGTGGGCCTTAGTAGTTGGGACAAGCACGTCGGCTACAGGAATGTAAGGGTGCTTCCGCCTGCGCCAATTAGTGGAAAATACATGCCCAATTTGCGAGATCTGCAAGGTATTGGAGGGGGTTTGGCTCAGTATTTGGAGTCTTCGGAATTCTCTGACCTTCAGTTTGTGATCGGGCCTAATAGGAGGGTGGTGCGGGCTCATCGCGTTCTTCTTGCTTCATCCTGTACTGGATTTTCACATTTTTCTGGCGACGTGTGTCGACTTGCATCTGTCAATTATTCGACTCTCCATGCATTCCTTCAGTATATCTACACTGGGCGCACAGTGGTGGGAATCCAATTCTTGTTGTAAATCTTTCCCAAAAAGAATATGAAGGAGCAGAATATTGCATTGTCGTTGGACTGTTTCCTACGGCAGTGCCGTTGACTTTGAAGGTGTTAATTGCTGTGTAGTAGGACTTCGGCTTAAGGCCTGTCTCACCGAATTAAAATGCAACCAATTTTTGAGGTTCAATTATCAGCTGAGATATTTTTAATAGCCGCAATGAGAATCATCACATGTTTTTAAGTAATCGATTCAAGTTTTGTAATTGTTTCACTCGGTACAAACTTTTTACTGTGCCGTCCATTATTTGTGGTACGGGAATAATATCAAGGGATTGCGAGCAAAATTGTCAATTTCGCGATGGCTGATATTGTGTTTGTTAAAATATGTGATAGGTGACCAGAAGCGAACTCAGCGGGCTTCAGGACTTGTCGGAGAAGTTTGGACTTGATTGCCTTGCACTCCAATGTCGACAGCTCAAAATAGTAGCTTCTGAGGAGGTAAATTATGAAGGAGCCAATGTATCCCAAGAAAATACCAAATTTGAGCTGGTGTATCAGAGCCCGGTTGCTATTTTCGAGGAACGATCTACACACGCTCTTAATATTCCTGTGAATGCAGCAGTGATGGTTCAACACCTAGACAGTGGAGAGTTCAGTGATGTTGAGATATCAATTGAGGACTATGGCACGGTGGCACGAGCTCACAGGCTAATTTTAAGTGCTTGGAGCGAACCGTTTGCAAAGGTCAGGACCCCTCCTGGTACAGTTTCATGAGTTTCATAAGTAAGCAGGCATATTATCTATATCTTTTCCTTCATCAAGCATTGTACATCTGTACCACATTCCTCTTAGACAATTATCTTTAAATGTTCGGATTTAACATGTCCGATTTGAAATTAAGTCCGTTAGAATTGTTTATTTTTTTAATCAATCATGTAGCCTTGTCGTTGTTAGCGCTTGCATAAGAGGGTGTAGCTAATATTGACCATGTAGAGCTAAAATGAAGTTCAGGGCCTTCGTAAGTATGCAAAGGCCCCAAAATTTATGCACTCAGAGCTGGAGCATTTGATAAGTTTGGAGCGTTTGATGCTCATGCGACTGTCTGCACCACGTCTAATGTGTGACTGCATGTTGACAGATGTTCACCAATGGGATGAGTGAGAGCAGTGTTGGTCAGGTTCTTATCAGAGATACAGAACCTCAGGTTTTCATGGCCATGCTTTGGTTCATGTATCGTGGTCACCTTGACCTGGAGGAGAGGAGTGACTACTGGGCATTACTACTTCCTCTTTTAGTGCTAGCCGACCAGTTTGCGATTCAACCTCTGCAGCAGGAGTGTTGTTTGCGTCTTCTTGATTGCTTGGCCGAGGTATTTTCTGTCCCTTGTGCGATGTCTGCTGGTGTAATATGTGAAATCGTCCTTACTGCATCCTTGAAGAGTCATCGTTTGTACTTGGCCAATCATCTGCTTACGACGAACTCAATGGAACCAGAACAGAATATACCCTTCTTTATTGGGATCAAGCACGATGTATAAAGCAAATCAAAAAAATTATCCCTAAGTTGGTATTACACGGGTTAAGTTGTATGTTTACGTTGTAGCCCATCTTGCATCCTCAGTTGGCGAAAGCGTGATTTTTTCGATGCTGATAAAGGCTTTGGCCTTTGCTATAGGATTCTGCATGCGCTATATTACAAGTGGCTGCTTCTATGCCTAATTGCAAGGCATTAAGAGACGCATGCCAGGACTGCTGCGCTCGCCACTTTGATTACTGTATTATTCCTCCAGCTGCGGTTTTCCAGGCGCTTGAAGCATCTTGCATATCACAAATCCTACAGGTTTTAAAATTATTCTCACTGCAGAAGAGTTTATTACATTCTGCAACCATGGCATCTTGGTTCGCTTATATTACGAAGCATAAGTTTTAATATTGGACTTGGAGTGTGGTCTCGTTAATGTTATAATGTTCTGATTGCATATTTCAATAGACCTTGCACTGTCTCTTTATGTGATTGCTATTTCAAGCCGATTTGGGGATTTATAGGTCATGAAGTCTAGTTTTGGCATCCCTCCTTCAAGAAGAACGCATGGTTTTATTGGCAATAAATCTTCTCTCTCCAGGATCTTTGCTCAACTCCAAACGAAACAACTGAAGCTAAGCGAGTGAGTTGTGTATTGCTATGTGTTTTATCAGCATTCAGCTTTGAGTGTTATCTCTGAAGAGAAAGTCCTCGACGCTATAATGATGTGGGGTGCGAATAAGGACGACATCCACGGTTGGGAGGATGCTAATCAACGAGCAATGGCTGAGGGGGCAGAATTATTCCAAGATCGGCTAGAAGACGTCAAACTCTTGATACCTCTTGTGCGGTTTCCTCTTATGTCTCTCCCAGTTTTGCAGATGGTGAGCCAGCGATCAATCTATTCCTTTGTATGAGGAGATGGCCTGTTTTATTATTTGCGGGACTTGTCAAGTACTTTCTCGCAGGCGTGTTCCGTGTTCCTTGGAGGTGAAAGGGCATGAGATTGACTCAGTTATTTGGATTTAGCAAGATTTAACTTTTTTGTGCAGTTTAACAACCCTAGTAGTGGAGCTGATAGGTTGACTGTTGTATTCCACAGTTGCAAGTCTCAGAGCTCTGCAGATTAATCCCAGCAATAGAGGAGCTTGTAAGTATCTAACCTGAATGGTGGTTTTCATGTCGGAAGTATTTGAATCTTAGCTCTTCAGCATGTGCCACAGCCTGTAGATGCTCTGATCTTGCCTTATTAATTCCTAGTGCTGGTTTGACACTTTTATTATCAAGAGACTGAAAATGTCTGGTATTTGAGGCAGTTTTGACAATTACAAATCTTCATGCTTATCAGTGAGCATGTCTATGTCAGGCAGGAGAAGCAATTGAATATCTATGTCAAGATTTAACATCGTCTACTTTACAACAGTAAATAATCTCATCACATATGCAAATCATGCAAGATATGTGGTTTTTTTGTAATTAATTTTAATGGTTCTGATACCACCCAGTTTGCTAGCTTGTTATATCTTACATAATTTCCAGAGCATTAGTGATGGGTATCATGCTCCTTTCTTTTGGATTTGAATTTACTTCTGGCCTAGCTTTATTGCTTCTTAGATTGAAATATCTACTAATTATCCACACTATACTTTGGTATGTTTTTCAGAGAGATATTTCAGTCACTGGATATGCGGACTCAAGGCAGGTTGGTCAAGTTTCCTCGCAGTACCGCCAGGTTCAGCCAGCGTCTTTCAACATTCAAGGAATTGTTATACATAAGTGATGGAGACTGCAATGGGGTGTTCTACTATCTTGGGACATCATATGGCTCTCATCCATGGATGAATCCCGCCCTTACCAAGGTATCTAAATCACACCTGATCTTGTCATTTTTTTCACGGATAATTTAGCAGGGTCACAGTATGAAAGGAGCTTCACTGCAGATCGTGAAGATCACGTACTTATTTGTGCAATGAACGTGACGAGTGAGATTTAGGTATGGATTTACGTTAGCATTTAGAAAGTTTTGGTGAGACCTGCTTAGTTCTTTCAAGCTTTTAGGAATCGGCTCAAACCTGTTAGCATTTATTTCCTGTTGCAGAAGCTGGTGGTTTCAGCAAGCAGTCCTCCATCGCGTTTTACAGATGCTAAAGCTCTTGTTTCTCGAAACTATCAGGTATAAGAGCTTCATTGAAGTACTTTTTATATCTCACTATTTATGCCATGTTTATGCTCCAGTTATCCAATTCAATATTTTCTCTGAATACCTTCAGTATAATCTTCTACTAGTACTTAGCCAACGTTTCGTATGATTAGTAAGGGTACCTTATTTTTTTCGTAACTAGTATTACAGATACACTGCGTCGATGGATAGGTAAAACTAAGTCGTTATGATTTTCTTGTTTTCAGGGAACATCATTCGCTGGACCTTGTAACGTTGGTGGACAAATGTCAGCCTGGTGGAAAGTGGATCTTGGAGCAGATCAGCAGGTGTTTGTTTTCTCACGATTATGTTTAGTTGTTTCTTATCTTGCAAATCCTGTCCTAAGCTTAACGTGACCCTCTCTCCATTTGTTCTAGTGCTTGACGTCAGATTGTTTACTTGCGCAGCTTCTGTGCAACTATTACACTGTGAGACAGGATAGCTCCTCTAGTTTTATGCGGAATTGGAGCCTTCAGGTAAAATCTCCATTCCTCTTTTGTAAGCACGATTTTTAATTTATCCCATCTTGTGATTCTTGCTCATAGACTTGGAGGATTAAATCAAGGTATTGATTCCAAAATAGCTTTTTGCTTGCTAACAAGCAAGGAGATTTGACCCATTTCATGCAATATGATTTGACAGGGTTCTGTGGATGGGCAACGTTGGACGCAACTACGAACCCATCACAACGATCAAACCATCGGTCACGGTGGGCAATATGCCTCATGGCCCGTCTTTGGTGCAAATGCTCTCCTGCCTTTCAGATTTTTCAGGGTGATTTTACTAGGCCCCACTACAAGTGTTTCAACTCCATGGAACCTTTCTTTGTGTTACTTGGAGCTGTATGGCTACTTAAGGTGAATTGTGTAAACTTCAATAGTATTGTCAGCACACTGCAGGCCCTTCATACAATTTTGTGGTATGTAGCCATTTCTTTCTTTCTTTGACCTTTGTCAGAAGAGAAATGCCAGGTGTACAGCTGGTATGAGGTAGTTCTTTTGTATGATACTAAAAGGTTAGTGAAAAGCCTCTCTTTAAATCCTCAGAAAGGACTTCTGAAATTATCATCTGGTTGTTGATCAAATACATCACTTTGTTTTTGAATGAGTTGTATGTATGTGTAGAAAATATATAATTTGTATGTATGAATGAACAAACAAACGAGGACATAGTGAAGGATAAATGATGATGTGAATAAGTTGTGGAGCCATGAAATAAGAAAGTGTATGCAGGTACAACTGAGTATGAGAAAGAGGGTTGATAAGTAATCACAATTGCAATAATATCACCATATTTCAAGATACATGGCCTTTGTTGCTGCTACTTGTGTGTCTTCACAGATTTTGTATAAAAAAAATTTGTTTAATTTTTTTCACACATCATTATCAACAATTCGTTTAAAAATTTAACCACTACTTAAAATTCAACATTTGTTTGACATTAGTAAGAAAAGAGAGAAAAAATATATTTTGTAACCTGTGTGTAAAATCTGTACAGAAAGGTAAAAATAAACCAAAATAAAATCAAAAATAATTACCAAGACCTGAACTCTCATTAGCGAACTAGTTTGGAAGACACAGAAGTTCAATAAATTCATTCATGTGACTTCTTGTAATTGTACTTGAAAACTTCATTTTTGGCCAAAATAATCTATCGACTAAAGTGTCTTGAGTACTATGTGTGAACAGACAGAAACCAACATCATTTTGGTTTCTATTTTTAAAATACATTCTAAGCACCAAATATTTGTAAAAAAATTTAATATATATATATATATATATATATATATATATATATATATATATTTCTTTCACATCTTAAAGAATGTGTATAGGCATATGACTGCAAAAAAACATGAGCTTTCTATCCACTAACCTAATCTATACAATAACAAAGCTTAGGTATAAAACAAAGAGATAAAGAAGCCTTCTTATTGACTGAAGAAAGAAATGATTAACTAGCAGAAAACACTGCACAACTTGCAGAAAGACGTCCAATTTCCTATCTATAAATAGTTTTGCAATACCCAACGACACAGATTTCCACTAATTACTTTATTACTCAAAGCAGGATTAGGGCTAGAACTCGAAAAGCGAGACGACGAACAGAAAACGATGAACGTGGTGGAGAATTCGACAAGGGTAACAAGTGGATGAAAACGTTCGTTCGATGGCTTCTCTGGAGCATTCTTGGCTTGGATTAGAGCCCCTCGCGGGAGAGATAGGCAACACAGACAGACTCTCAGTCTCACACACTCACAGTCTTACACACTCACCGACGCCGAGAGACGAGCGAAGCGAGGCGAGGCGAGAGAGCAGGAATCGACGAAGCTTGCATTGGCTGCCGCGCTCCATTTCCATCCTTCGCCGCGCGGACGCTCACATTCTGTCATTCGAATGAACTCTCTCTTTCTCCTCCTCAGCTTTTTCACTGCACCACCGGCTCTTCGTGTTGCGAATAGCAGGGTTTAAGGAAAGACCTCTCGAGAAGAGAAGAGAGAGTGCGGGAGTTAGCTAGGGTTGGGAATTTCTTGCTGCTTTTTCCGATGGAGTCTTGATGCAGAAGTTTTTGAGCTCAGGCTCGGCGCGGACGTCCGTTTTGGAAGCGCATCTGTGAGAAGGTAGGGTTCTGAACTCTTTTTAGAATGTATTTTTGGGCTTGATTTTTTTAATGGCTGGTTTTTACTTTTAATGTGTAGCTTCGAGTGGATGGAAGTCTGGAGGTGGTGGAGAGAACACTGCTTTCGTAGACTGCGTTTATGTGGAGTGCGGCCAGACCGACCATTTATTTATTTATTTATTTATTTTCTTCTTCTTCTTCCTGAGCTTCGAGAGAGAATACTAAGTGCGTTCTCTCGGCAGCTGGTTTATTTTTCCGGCCAGAATCTGTTGCGATTTAGATATGAACCCTTTTGGTCATCTCTGTGGGTCGTCTCTACCTTTGGTGCCTGCTTTGGAAATCACATATATTAGCACATCTGGCTTGCTTGTGACACATTTCCATCAACTCTTGCGCACTACGTATTGACACTTCTTTTGGTTTCGGGTAATTTTCTTGGGAGATTAGGGCTACGTATCATTTTTTTTTCTTTTCACGAACATTCTGAGATTAGATCCTTCCTTCCAGTACTTCTTCGTGTCGATTTAGCCCCTTTTTCTAGTGCTTTCCCCCGTTGCTAGCAATCCCCAGCTGGCTTGAGGGTTTGGCATATGATTAGGACTGAGCAGAGTGGAAGATTTAGATCTTTTTTGTGGTCTAGATTTTGTTGTTATCCGTGGCAATTTTTCTCGGATGAATTTTTGTTTTCTTGTTTAATGAGAACTTACTCAGGATATCATTGAGCTTGAGGATTCTTTGATGTTCCAGGTGTTTCTAAGCTCATTGAATTATTATTCTACTATAATGTTAGTTATAATTACGATAATCATTACTATTATTGTTTTCCTAGACGTCATGGTTAATGGCGAGAGGAATAAAACATGCGTATTTAGCTTTTAGGTTAACGTTGTTATCTGTGGGTTTTTCAGATGGAGAAGTAGGAGGCATACATGATGCTTTCTTAACAACTATCAAAGTAAAAGGTGATCGAGAGATAGTAGTTTCACAATGGCGGAAGAGAAACCCAAGGTGAAGTCATTGAAACTGAAGAAGGAATCGGGAGATACTGGAAAGTCGGATTTCTTGAAGTCCGCTCTGAAAAAGCCCTCTCCAGAAATAACAGATAGGAGAGAGAAGGGCACACCGGATCGGAAAGACCAAGTAAAGAGTAGCATAGGAAAAAATCTAGTGAAGGTTGGGAAAGAATTTGCCAAGGACAATGGCAGAGATCAGGATGGAAAGATGGCAAGCAAGGATGTGAAGGCCTCAATGAAGCAGGAGGACAGGGCGTCGATGAAGACCGAACCGAAGTCTCCCGCCAATGCGTCTAATAAGGAGAAGAAAATGATGCCCAAGGATGAAAAGAATGATAATGGAAAAGCACAGGGGAAAAGCGTTGGCAAGGATGCAGGGAATTTGAATGGGAAGGTACCAGTTAAAAAAGAGTTGGGTAAGGTGAAAGAAAAGATCTCTGGAGAGACCAAGGATCTAGAAAACGAGAAAGAGAAAGGGAGGAGCTCCAACGTGAAAACTCCCGTTAAAACACCAGTGAGATCGGAAAGTGAAACCAAAGGGACACCAAAATCTACCAAAGTAAGTCTACTGAATTTTTTCCATTTGCAGTTTTTGTATACTGGAAGGCCAGAGGCTCCGTTGTTGCCAAGCAATGTGCAGAACCTTTCTTATATAACTCACATTTCTGTTAGTGAAGCACGTCGATGCTTTTAAAACCCTGTATAAAGCGTCGCTTACGAGTTGATTGGGGTATGGGTTCATGTATGTTGCAGGTAGTTGCATCATCAAGTATAGTGAAGAAGAAGACTATAACCACGACGGTGACGAGCACAAAGACTGTGACGGAGCAGAAGAAGGAAAAGAAAGTGTACGACTTGCCAGGACAGAAACATGATCCTCCTGAAGAGGTGTGTGCTTTACTTTTCTCTTCAAGATATTCGTAGAAATTATGATTTCACAAAGTCATATGTACGCGTATATTGAGATTTTACTCAATGATGTTGCTTTTACCTTGTGCTTTTCCATTCTAGTATTGCGGAGCTTGTGCGAAGTTGACCGTGAGGCTTTGTTATTTATGGTAGTGATGCTGGCTGTTTGCAGAGAGATGCCCTAAGGATCTTTTACTCGACCCTTCGAGAACAGATCCCTGAAAGCGAGATGGCTGAAATCTGGTGGGTTTTCTTGCCTCTAATATGTAAAGGTTTTAGCAATATCCGTAGTTCTTATGGTTAGCATTCCTTTGAGGTTACTAGGTGACGTGATGTTTGTTGTGCTTTTCTCTGCCTTTCTAACAATAAATGTGCAATAAAATACTGAATGTTTAAGCTCTTCCTTGCAATAGTTACTCAAGTTTTCCATGTATATGACCCTAGTTGTACTTGGTTGCTGAATGCCATTTGTCGCCAGTTTTCGATGGTTTTGGGTTCTAGTCCTTCTGTTTGCCCCAACGTGTCGTCGGAGTTAGGTTGTAGTTTTCTCTCATACAAAAGCACTTGGAATGTAGGTTGATGGAGCATGGATTGCTTTCACACGCTGAGGCACAGAAGGCCTTTGAGCGCAAGCAGAAAAGAGGACAATCTTCAAAGCACGGTACAATAAGCAAGCCCTCAACTCCCTCACGAGTATCTAATGGATCTTCTGGAGTAAAGAAAACTACTCCTGTTTCCAATGGCAAAAGTAGAGAGGCTGGTTCATCAATGAAGGGCAAGAAAAAGAGGGACGATTCTGATAGTGACAACGATGATGACTTTCTCGTAAAAGTAGCAACTAAGAAAAAGTTGAAAACCTAGAGAACGGGATGCTTTTTTATCTCAACTTTTTTTCATTTTTTCTCGGACGCATTCTGAGCTACTGCTCCCGTTGTTTGGATATGATTTGCTTTGTTTGCCGAGCATGAAGCTCGACAGATTATTCCAGAAATTTTCATACTGGCGAGAATTTTTATGGGAGAAATCAGCTCATAGTGGCGAGTATTTAGTCCGAAACATGTAATCCCAGAACCATAAGCTCAGAGACCTTCCTGAAACGAAATCAAGCACATTGATCCGCGAAGTTCTCTCGGAGAGCTAAGCTTGAGAGTTGTAAATTGTACATTAGTGGGTGATACTCCTTGACAGCGCCTACTGTGCACGAAAATTTGATGACTGTAAAGTTCCTTCTTAGTAAGGATAGTCAATCACTTGGAACAAGGTCATCAGTGATGTGCAACTTCCAGGTGAACGAGGTCAAAATAAGAATCTGTAGAGTATTTCATTCTGTTCACATTGAAGGAGCTTTCACAGGGAGCTGTGATTTGATATTAGAGTTTGGATTGACCTGAAAATTGACAAGATTGAGAAAGCGTGTGATTTCTGTGGTTAAGCTGCAAAAGTTAGGTAGGTAGTGAGATTTGAAATTTTGCAGGTGTAGAATCTTAGATTGAAGGTTGATTTGATGAAGAATGCTACAAGATTTGAAATGTTCGTATCTCAATTTTCCAAACGGCTATGTCATTTCAGATTGCAACAAATTATCAAATTAACAGATTGCAACAAACTTTGGAAGTAAATTGTCTGTGACGTCAATAATATTGCTAAGCAGTTGTAATTGGTTCAAAATACTTTGTAAGTAGTCCACAAATGATTAGCAAGACTATAACCATCAATGTTTGTTTGCTTGAATTAAACCCTTAGCCCTAAACCTGTATGCCAAGAATGTGATTTGTTTGCTAGGACAATTAACAGCATATTTGCCAACAGAAAATGGTAATAGTAATCTTTATAATTTAGAAATAATAATAATAATTTATATGTCTGTGTCTCGATAGATTTGAATTGCATTTGAAGAATTACTCCCAGTACTTAAAAATCCAAGTATTACTATCTACTTTTAATAGTCTTGACATACAATAGACTTAAAATCAAATATTACAACTTTATATGTTCGTAAAAATTGATGTATTTTCTTATGAAACTCTTTTTTATATGCATATATCATTTTACATTTTTTTTTTATTCTTTAGTTATTATTATTTCTGAATTATCATCCCTAATAGAAAAATAACAAAAAAAATTCCAAATAATTTTTTTTTAAAATGAAACCTATTTAGATTGAAATGGTTAAACCTATGATAAAATGTGTACCCACATATGAACGCACATACACGTACAATACATATAAAAATTTGTATTAGTATTTTAACGAATGTGTTTCCGTAAATTGCTAAAAGTATCCAAACGATAGCCAAACGAAGTGGCTATCATTTGCTGACACAGGCATTGTGAGAAAGGCTAGAATGGGTCCTTAGTTTAGGGGAGAGTAAATGGCACCGCATGTTACTCTTCGCAAGTTTCGTCCCTTAGAGCAACTTCTCATTGCGATGCTGGGAATCAGAACCCACATTTGGTTCTAGTTGCTCCGAAATTCTGTCCCAGTAATACACCTTCAGCATTTAAAAGGTAACTATTCGATGTTCTATGAACACGTGGCAGAATAAATTTGGGAGGACCTCTACGTGAGTTTATTTGAAGGACAAACTACCTTCTGTACTAAATGAGTTGGGCAGGATGATATGCTTTTCTCTGCGTTCTTGTGAGAGAAAGGTGCAACATGGTGTGAGTATGACTCCTGTATTGCACACCCTTCGACTCTCATTTCCGAACATATAACTTCGCTTTGAGAAGTTCAAGTTTGGAGTTCTCTATTTGGCTCATCGTCGCAGTGGCCGCATCAGCTAATGCAGATCCGATTCCCAAACGATAGCCACTTCAATTCCATTCGAAGATTTACCAGAATCAGACTAGGGCAGTCGGTATTATTGGCTTGTGACGAGACTCACCCAATGGAAGCAATTTCAATAATTTTCCCAGTATAAAATGGTTTCATAAGTATAATTTCAAAAGCTTCGTCACTGCCAAAACTTCTACATTCAAGATATTTAAACCTTCATTACCTTTTCATTAATGTAGTGAAGACATTGTGTATCAAGATTCAAGCAATTCCTTCATTACAGTATATTGAGGTTCCAAACTGCACCCAACAAGAAGGCACAGTATGTCGTAGTAAAGCGCAGTTTGAGGTTTTGGTGTAGGTTGGTAATGAGCTAAAAGAGGCATCAAATCTAAACTGGGCCCCCGCAAGGCGTCCCCCGGCATTTCAGAGTTGATTCGTCTATAATAGACATGTCCAGGAACTACACTAGACCATCTTCAGCGGTAACAAAGCTCAACCTCATTAAAAGGTGGTGGCCGCCACAATAACATTGCAGTTCAGAAAACCTCAAACGAAATTTACAGCTTTAGAGTACTCCGGAATCGTTAATAGGGAAACAACACGGTTCGATATCAAATCCAAGAAGTTCAACTTAGTCCAAACCATGCATTCAAAGGGTACAGATACAACTAAGTTTGTCCACAGTATCACTACGAGACTTAAATTAATAACCTCCCTTGAGATCGTTGACGACATCGTACGGAATGGGAGTCACAGTCTCTAGGGTTGAGGAATCGAGAACGAATCCAGCCCTAGGACCAGCAGGCTGACGCTTAAGGTTCACCGTTTCGCCCCTAGCCTTGGCCTCAGCCTTCTTGACGTCATTGCTCTTGCGACGCTCAAGAAATTCTTCCCGGCAGCGTGAAGGCTGCACGTGCTCAATACGCACATGAAGACGCTTCTGGATGATCCTGTTTCCGACCTGTACAATTTCAATACTCCTTAAACACCATAAATTGAGAACTGCATGTTCCAAATTGCTACTGTGATGGGCGTTTTTATCTAATACTTCTTACAATAAGAGTAATTCACAGATCCTTGGAGCGTCGAAAGATAATCATATTAAAAGATTACACAGTTCATTTCCGGGATGATATGCCTCCTCGGCACTAGAACGAGAAGAAAATGAATAAATGATATTGAACATTCGAAAGTTCTACGCACGTGTCCGCATGTGCAGAGAAAGCTACCAACATACGACCAGCTACTACAACCCTACTGGAAAAACTTTACAGAGCTCGTTGAACGCAAGTATACATGGTAATGCGGAAGTACAAATACCCAAAGCACCACTACACGAAGAAAACTAGGGCGTGCATTTCAATTGGTGCAGTCTACATCACAAGACTACACGGAACATTGAAACTCCCAGAGCACCAAGAAGAGGCTAATGCTAAAAGGGTCAATTGATAAGAACAAAATCGACTTCGACTGAAGAGTTTAAATCTACACTTATGAAAATCCACGGGGGCATAAAAACAATGCCCTAAGCCCCAAAGACGCAATTGCACCATACGATTCATCTTTACGAGAAAAAAAAATCTCAACACCAGATAATCAAGGAAAATAATCCACGATAGTTGGAATAATGTGATGCGAAAACAGCCCCAGCCAAAGAAGGAAAAACCCTAGAACGAAGCAGGAAGGGGGAGCTCCCACGACCAGGCGGCTTCGGCTTCGGGGGAGGGAGGGAGAAGGTCAATCATACCTGCTTGTTCATCACGACACCGACGGCACGCTTGGTGACGTTCCAGACGATGCCGGTGCGCCCGTGGTAGAACTTGTGAGGCATACCCTTGTGGACGGCTCCGTTCACCTTGATGTCCACATACTGGCCAACCTTGAAGGTACGCAGGTAGGTCGTCAAGGGGATGTAACCTTTGTGCCTGAAAGGTCGAGAGAACAAGTCTCTAGTGCGAGATCGAAGCCCATGACCAGCCGGCATTGTCGCTGCCCTGAGAGTTGCTACAAACCCCTGCTCTCACAACACGAGAAGGTCGAGTGTGAGAGAGAAAGGCTTCAAATGTCGCCCTTCACCCTTAAACCCTAAATCTGCCTTTTAGGCCTGGACTGCCATTTAGGTTTGGACTTTACCGAGCCTCGTGCCAGGCCAAGGGTATGAACCAGGCCTGCTTGGCTTGGCGGGCTCGCAGGCCTGGTGAGTTTTGGTTCGGTAATTCAGCGTCCTCGGCGCATTAGTGTAATAGTGCAACTATTTCAAACTTTTTTAAAAAATAAAATAAATTTCAAACTGCTGAGGGAGATTTGGTTTTCTTCTCCAATTCAAGTGCGAAAATGTATACACCCACACTTAATTTCAAGATGAAAATGTACTATTGTTTATTTTCTCATGTATGAGTACATTCATTACAATAGAAATTTATGTATATGTATGTGTAGATAATTAAAAATTAGAATGACACCATATCTTTTTTTTATTAAAAAATGATAATATAAATTTTATATATCCTAAATTTCTAGTATCAATTAAAAGTACGTGTCTAAGTTTTTGTATTTAACTAATTCAGTTTTGTAATATATTATAATTATTTTATTCTGTAAACTAACTGATAACTTGAAATATTTGTAACGATAACTCCAGTATACTGAAAATCCTTTTCCAAACTTTTGATTGGATTTATAAAATTTAACTGTTTCTTTTTTCTTTTGTTTTACATTATTTACCAAAAAAGAAAAGAAGAAAAAACAACAAAGAATATAGTGATTAAAAAATTCTCTAATTTTAAATTTTAAATATTTACTCATATTTTTCACTAAATTTTGCAGCTCACATTATTATTCTTTAAACTATACATTTATCTGTATACAGATCATATATATATAATTATATATATATTCATTCATTTATAAAGGCATTTATGAAATCTAGTTATTTTATTGAATTCAATTTAATATTGCATGTATTTTGAATTCCTAATATGTATATTTATATCTATTTTGATGCATGAAATTATGAATATTTATAAAATAGGTGTGCGTAGTATGTATATATATGCATTTTTAAATCAAATATTTGATATTCTAAATAAAAATGGTTCATAATACAATTAGGTGCATTTGGTTAATAGATAATTTAATTTGAAAAACTATCAACTTTATGGCTTTAAAAGATTATCATTGGCCTTCAAAACTTATGATATTAAAAAAATAACTAACAAAAATATATAATTATAGATTATAAAATTCTTTTTTAATCAAATATACAATAATATTTATATCCTTTTTATTCCTATGTATATGTTTGTATATAAGTATGTATATGTAATTATAAATTTATGTTTCTATGTGTTTATTTCTTATTAAAATATATATTTTTATAGGGAATTTTAAGTGATTAATATAATAATAAAATAAAATTTGTCAAAAAATAAATGTATCACTATTTTTGAAAATATCCAAAATAGAAATAATTAACTTATTATACCTCAAAGTTGATGCTAAAATGCATACTAAATGAATACAAAATTGAAAGAATAATAGAAAATATTTTATTATTGTGGTTAAAAAAATACACAATTTAAAGTGGTATATATTTATATTTAGAAAAGATAGTTATTAAAATATCAAGAGCTATAAGATGGTTAATTTTGTCTTATGTAAAATTTAAATAGTTAAAACGATTTGTTTTAATGAAATCATTTAATTTTTTTATAAAAAATATATTTAAATATTATTTGTCTTTTAAATTCAACTTAAATTCATTATATAAATAGGTAAATAAAATGACGTAATATTTTATAATTTTATTTATACATAAAGAAGATATAATATATTATCTTATATAGTTTTATAGAATAGATGAATATTAATAAATATCATATGACAAAACTATTTAAGTATGTAATAATTGTATTCATGAAAAAATATTAAATATAACTTAAGTATAAGTATATGAAGTAATAAAATGCTACAAATTTGATTCATATTCATTCACAATACTCTTTTCTCATAAGTATGATTAAATTATAAATGTTCTCTAATTGCAACTTACACATTTGTATTGTATTGCTATTGCTAGTAATAATTTGTTTTATTATTATTATTATTATTATTATTATTATTATTATTATTATTATTATTATTTTTTATTTTTATTTTTATTTTTATTTTTTGAGCACAAATTAAATTTTGTTCAAGTTGAAATAAGTGAAATACATGTAACTTATATCATTTACAATAGAGGCTAGAGAAATAAACGACCTACCTTATCTATATTTAATGACTACCATCTACGTCTACTTAAGCAGACTATTCTTTACCCAAGTTACTTGGTTATCATTCCTAGTATATAAAATCACTTAATTACTCCACTTCTAATCAAAATCTGCTAAGGCTTCTTGCACCAAGTCTAGATTTGTTTTACATTGCACCTCAATATTAGACCAAGTAATTCTACCATAGTCTCTTAGGCCTTGCCAAATCAATTGTGTTGTTTTCTCTTGGCTCTACATCTCTTGATTGAAGACTTTGTCATTTTGAATATGATGCCTCTAAAAAGTAGCCAAAATTTACCAACTTTACAATAGCATTGGAGTATTCTATAGACAAACAATGATTGATTATAGTCCTTGGAAGGCTACAACATTGAACCACAAGGTTGAATTAATTTCTCTAGTAGGAAGCTAACAAAGTTCCAAGCTTATTGAGATAACCAACATTCATAGAATCAATAAAGAAATGTTTTCTATTACACCTTCTAGATACATAGCACAAAAAATATCAATTTGGTCTAAGGTTTGTCTCCTCTATAAATTTACTACAACTAATGTATACTATAATTTAAAAAAAAAAAAAAAACTTTTTTTTTGGCCACTCATAATTTTAAATATTATTCTATTTAAATTTGAAGTTTAATGAGAGAAGAAGCTACTATTTATCTTAGGCTAACATATGTGAGAGGTGGTACTTATAAAACAAATCTTAAACTTATTAGGTAGTATAATGCATAAATTCTTTTTAGTCATACTACCATATATAGCCCGAGTTCTATTACAGTTTACTAATGTGTCTGTAGAAGATGAAGATAGTTTGTTTATATAGACCTTGATGATATTCTACACTTGAACTTTTTGAATCATATTTCAATATGAATAAGTTGTAAAAAACATTGCTATTAAAGTTCAATAATATTACTTTGAATACACATTGATGAAGAATAAAGATAACTTCTTGCTTCAAAGAGTTGTGGAAGTATTTTTTGAGCTCATTACCTTAACACACCATAAACAATAGCTTAGCATCTATATTAGTATATATACCATATCATTTTCTTGATTGTCATTGGATGGACTTTAAAATGAGCAATCACCTATCTTCAATGCTCATATCTGCATCTATACAATTTCAATTATTAAATTCCTTTGATTGAGGACCAAAACAAGCCTTGGCCTTTAGGCATGTGAAGAACAACATATCAATTTTGTATCATACATGGCACATTGATTGTAGGCATGTTGCAAATAATTTTGCTATTTGGGCCTTAGAAAATGTTAGTCCTATGTTTTGTGTTCTTAGGTACCACTAAGAAGGAGAGCTAAGCTATTCTTCAAAAAAATTAGGTGGAATGAAAACTATCTCTTTAACCAAAAGCTTCTATTCTTTAACTATTCTACTCTAAATTTTATATTTCATGGATGCTTTATGTTCATTTATCAAGAATCAGTTCATAGATTCACTCCATTTTTCTATTGCACATGGTTGTTTATTTGTCAAATGGAACTTAATCATTGCTTTAAAGTGGATAACTCAAGCTTGTATTTGTGATCACCTACTTGCATATAAAGGCTATTATAGCTTCCTCAGAGTCAATGAGGTCTAGTCTACCTTCACTTTTTTTAAATAACATGTCTTCCTTACGACTATAATAGAAGTCAATTGATTGGTGTCAATCCAATGATAATTCTATGCCTTATAGATTATTTTCATGATATCCATCTTTTTACCACTTCATATGAATATAAAATACAAAGTGGCTAAAAATAATTTTTTATTTATAATATTTACTTTATATGTAATATTAATCTAATATTAAAATTATTTTTTGATGTAATCAAAGAACAACTAATCCACCTAGATCACCTTAAAGAAGAGGCCAATGAAAGTATCCAAAAACTTCAATATTTCTTTTTTATACGTCTATTTCTAATCTATTGATTCCAATCCATTGAAATGAGATCCTATCCTTGAACTCTATTAGTAAGCTACAAATTTTGCTTAGTTTATGAGAAAGTTGGCTGCGGAATTAAATATTTTATGTATCAAAATTGCTTATATAATCCTTGCTTCTTCTCTATATAGGTTTATTGATCTATTATCAACATGCTCATGGAGTATTTGAAACTTGATGGCTCTACGTAGATCAGTTCTTTTGATTTGCTCAAATGCTACATCTTTCTTCATACACTAATTTATTATCTTGCCAACCACCAAAAAAAAATAGGATGCCAATGAGCATACTTGACAAATCTCTTAATATATTTAAAAGGATTTGATTAGCCAATCATTTATATATATCCCAACTTTTATGTCCTAGTAGAAAATTTTAATCATAAGGATGAATTCTTGAAAGAATTTAAGCCTTTAAAAGCACAAAAGAAGAATTATAAATAAAATTTATTATTAGCTTTAGAAAAGTCAAGCTTTAAAAATAATAATTATTGACTTATATATTTAGCATAAAAAATAATTTCATACTTAAAAAATATGTTATCTAAAATAAACCTTATTGATATAAATATTGATTGATCTGAGCTTACTAAAACCATAAACATAGGCTACAATCAAATTTAAAGAGCTTTAGCAAATAACTTGTAAGATATGTTAAAGATACTGATTGAACCTCAATTATTGAAAAAATTATGCCCACTTCTTTGATGGAATAAAATAATCAACCTTAATGTAATTCCAAGTAATAAGGCCTTGCATATAGTGGCTTCTTGGAACATTGACAAATACTTAGTACCAATAGTTGGTCACATTTATTAGAAAATTTCTATCACTATACCATCTAATTTAAAAA